TGAGTGGGGTGAGTGGGGTGAGTGAGGGCGAGTGGGGGTGATTGGGGGTGAGTGGGGTGAGTGGGGTGAGTGAGGGTGAGTGGGGTGAGTGGGGTGAGTGAGGGTGATTGGGGTGAGTGGGGTGAGTGGGGTGAGTGGGGGTGAGTGGGTTGAGTGGGGTGATTGGGGGTGAGTGGGGTGAGTGGGGGTGAGTGGGGTGTGTGGGGGTGAGTGGGGTGAGTGGGGTGAGTGGGGGTGAGTGGGGTGAGTGGGGTGAGTGGGGTGAGTGAGGGTGAGTGGGGTGAGTGGGGTGAGTGAGGGTGAGTGGGGTGAGTGGGGTGAGTGGGGGTTCAGTGGGGGTGAGTGGGGGTGAGTGGGGTGAGTGGGGGTTCAGTGAGGGTGAGTGGGGGTGAGTGGGGTGAGTGGGGGTGAGTGGGAGTCAATGGGGTCAGTGGGGTGAGTGGGGGTGAGTGGGGTGAGTGGGGTGAGTGGGGTGAGTGGGGGTGAGTGGGGTGAGTGGGGGTGAGTGGGGTGATTGGGGGTGAGTGGGGTGAGTGGGGTGAGTGGGGGTGAGCGGGGGTGAGCGGGGGTGAGCGGGGGTGAGCGGGGGTTAGTGGGGGTGAGTGGGGGTGAGTGGGGTGAGTGGGGTGAGTGGGGGTGAGTGGGGTGAGTGGCGTGAGTGGGGGTGAGTGGGGTGAGTGGGGCGATTGGGGTGAGTCGGGTGAGTGGGGGTGAGTGGGGTGAGTGGGGTGAGTGAGGTGAGTGGGGTGAGTGGGGTGAGTGGGGTGAGTGAGGGTGAGTGGGGGTGAGTGGGGGTGAGTGGGGTGAGTGGGGGTGAGTGGGGTGAGTGGGGTCAGTGGGGTGAGTGGGGGTGAGTGGGGTGAGTGGGGTGAGTGGGGGTGAGTGGGGTGAGTGGGGTGAGTGGGGTGAGTGAGGGTAAGTGGGGTGATTGGGGTGAGTGGGGTGAGTGGGGGTGAGTGGGGGTGAGTGGGGTGAGTGGGGTGAGTGGGGTGAGTGGGGTGAGTGAGGGTGAGTGGGGTGATTGGGGTGAGTGGGGTGAGTGGGGGTGAGTGGGTTGAGTGGGTTGAGTGGGGTGAGTGGGGGTGAGTGGGGTGAGTGGGGGTGAGTGGGGTGAGTGGGGGTGAGTGGGGTGAGTGGTGGTGAGTGGGGTGAGTGAGGGTGAGTGGGGTGATTGGGGTGAGTGGGGTGAGTGGGGGTGAGTGGGGTGAGTGGGGTGAGTGAGGGTGAGTGGGGTGAGTGGGTTGAGTGGGTTGAGTGGGGTGAGTGGGGGTGAGTGGGGTGAGTGGGGGTGAGTGGGGGTGATTGGGGGTGAGTGGGGTGAGTGGGGTGAGTGAGGGCGAGTGGGGGTGATTGGGGGTGAGTGGGGTGAGTGGGGTGAGTGAGGGTGAGTGGGGTGAGTGGGGTGAGTGAGGGTGATTGGGGTGAGTGGGGTGTGTGGGGTGTGTGGGGGTGAGTGGGTTGAGTGGGGTGATTGGGGGTGAGTGGGGTGAGTGGGGGTGAGTGGGGTGAGTGGGGGTGAGTGGGGTGAGTGGGGTGAGTGGGGGTGAGTGGGGTGAGTGGGGTGAGTGAGGGTGAGTGGGGTGAGTGGGGTGAGTGAGGGTGAGAGGGGTGAGTGGGGTGAGTGGGGGTTCAGTGGGGGTGAGTGGGGGTGAGTGGGGTGAGTGGGGGTTCAGTGAGGGTGAGTGGGGGTGAGTGGGGTGAGTGGGGGTGAGTGGGAGTCAATGGGGTCAGTGGGGTGAGTGGGGGTGAGTGGGGTGAGTGGGGTGAGTGGGGTGAGTGGGGGTGAGTGGGGTGAGTGGGGGTGAGTGGGGTGATTGGGGGTGAGTGGGGTGAGTGGGGTGAGTGGGGGTGAGCGGGGGTGAGCGGGGGTGAGCGGGGGTGAGCGGGGGTTAGTGGGGGTGAGTGGGGGTGAGTGGGGTGAGTGGGGTGAGTGGGGGTGAGTGGGGTGAGTGGCGTGAGTGGGGGTGAGTGGGGTGAGTGGGGCGATTGGGGTGAGTCGGGTGAGTGGGGGTGAGTGGGGTGAGTGGGGTGAGTGAGGTGAGTGGGGTGAGTGGGGTGAGTGGGGTGAGTGAGGGTGAGTGGGGGTGAGTGGGGGTGAGTGGGGTGAGTGGGGGTGAGTGGGGTGAGTGGGGTCAGTGGGGTGAGTGGGGGTGAGTGGGGTGAGTGGGGTGAGTGGGGGTGAGTGGGGTGAGTGGGGTGAGTGGGGTGAGTGAGGGGAAGTGGGGTGATTGGGGTGAGTGGGGTGAGTGGGGGTGAGTGGGGGTGAGTGGGGTGAGTGGGGTGAGTGGGGTGAGTGGGGTGAGTGAGGGTGAGTGGGGTGATTGGGGTGAGTGGGGTGAGTGGGGGTGAGTGGGTTGAGTGGGTTGAGTGGGGTGAGTGGGGGTGAGTGGGGTGAGTGGGGGTGAGTGGGGTGAGTGGGGGTGAGTGGGGTGAGTGGTGGTGAGTGGGGTGAGTGAGGGTGAGTGGGGTGATTGGGGTGAGTGGGGTGAGTGGGGTGAGTGGGGGTGAGTGGGGTGAGTAGGGTGAGTGGGGTGCGTGGGGTGAGTGGGGTGAGTGGGGGTGAGTGGGGTGAGTGGGGGTGAGTGGGGTCAGTGGGGGTGAGTGGGGGTGAGTGTGGTGAGTGGGGGTGAGTGGGGGTGAGTGGGGTGAGTGGGGGTGAGTGGGGTGAGTGGGGTGAGTGGGGTGAGTGAGGGTGAGTGGGGTGATTGGGGTGAGTGGGGTGAGTGGGGGTGAGTGGGGGTGAGTGGGGTGAGTGGGGTGAGTGGGGTGAGTGGGGTGAGTGAGGGTGAGTGGGGTGATTGGGGTGAGTGGGGTGAGTGGGGGTGAGTGGGTTGAGTGGGTTGAGTGGGGTGAGTGGGGGTGAGTGGGGTGAGTGGGGGTGAGTGGGGTGAGTGGGGGTGAGTGGGGTGAGTGGTGGTGAGTGGGGTGAGTGAGGGTGAGTGGGGTGATTGGGGTGAGTGGGGTGAGTGGGGTGAGTGGGGGTGAGTGGGGTGAGTGGGGTGAGTGGGGTGCGTGGGGTGAGTGGGGTGAGTGGGGGTGAGTGGGGTGAGTGGGAGTGAGTGGGGTCAGTGGGGGTGAGTGGGGGTGAGTGTGGTGTGTGGGGGTGAGTGGGGGTGAGTGGGGTGAGTGGGGGTGAGTGGGGTGAGTGAGGTGAGTGGGGTGAGTGAGGGTGAGTGGGGTGAGTGGGGTGAGTGGGGGTGAGTGGGGTGAGTGGGGTGAGTGGGGGTGAGTGGGGTGAGTGGGGTGAGTGAGGGTGAGTGGGGTGAGTGGGGTGAGTGAGGGTGAGTGGGGTGATTGGGGCAAGTGGGGCGAGTGGGGGTGAGTGGGGTGAGTGGGGTGATTGGGGTGAGTGAGGTGAGTGAGGTGAGTGGGGTGAGTGGGGTGAGTGAGGGTGAGTGGGGTGAGTGGGGTGAGTGGGGTGAGTGAGGGTGAGTGGGGTGAGTGGGGGTGAGTGGGGGTGAGTGGGGTGAGTGGGGTGAGTGGGGTGATTGGGGTGAGTGAGGTGAGTGAGGTGAGTGGGGTGAGTGGGGTGAGTGAGGGTGAGTGGGGTGAGTGGGGTGAGTGGGGTGAGTGAGGGTGAGTGGGGTGAGTGGGGGTGAGTGGGGGTGAGTGGGGTGAGTGGGGTCAGTGGGGTGAGTGGGGTGAGTGGGGTGAGTGGGGGTGAGTGGGGTGAGTGGGGTGAGTCAGGGTGAGTGGGGTGAGTGGGGTGAGTGGGTGAGTGAGGGTGAGTGGGGTGAGTGGGGGTGAGTGGGGGTGAGTGGGGTGAGTGGGGTGAGTGAGGGTGAGTGGGGTGATTGGGGTGAGTGGGGTGAGTGGGGTGAGTGGGGGTGAGTGGGTTGAGTGGGTTGAGTGGGGTGAGTGGGGGTGAGTGGGGTGAGTGGGGGTGAGTGGGGTGAGTGGGGGTGAGTGGGGTGAGTGGGGGTGATTGGGGTGAGTGGGGTGAGTGGGGGTGAGTGGGGTGAGTGGGGTGAGTGAGGGTGAGTGGGGTGATTGGGGTGAGCGGGGTGAGTGGGGGTGAGTGGGGTGAGTGGGGGTGAGTGGGGTGAGTGGGGTGAGTGGGGGTGAGTGGGGTGAGTGGGGTGCGTGGGGTGAGTGGGGTGAGGGGGGGTGAGTGGGGTGAGTGGGGGTGAGTGGGGTCAGTGGGGGTGAGTGGGGGTGAGTGGGGTGAGTGGGGGTGAGTGGGGTGAGTGAGGTGAGTGGGGTGAGTGAGGGTGAGTGGGGTGAGTGGGGGTGAGTGGGGTGAGTGGGGTGAGTGGGGGTGAGTGGGGTGAGTGGGGTGAGTGAGGGTGAGTGGGCTGAGTGGGGTGAGTGAGGGTGAGTGGGGTGATTGGGGCGAGTGGGGCGAGTGGGGGTGAGTGGGGTGAGTGGGGTGATTGGGGTGAGTGGGGGTGAGTGGGGTGAGTGAGTGTGAGTAGGGTGAGTGGGGTGAGTGAGGGTGAGTGGGGTGATTGGGGTGAGTGGGGTGAGTGGGGGTGAGTGGGGTATGTGGGGGTGAGTGGGGTGAGTGGGGGTGAGTGGGGTGAGTGGGGCTGAGTGGGGTGAGTGGGGGTGAGTGTGGTGAGTGGGGGTGAGTGGGGTGAGTGGGGGTGAGTGGGGGTGAGTGGGGTGAGTGAGGGTGAGTGGGGTGATTGGGGTGAGTGGGGTGAGTGGGGGTGAGTGGGGTGAGTGGGGGTGAGTGAGGTGAGTGGGGTGAGTGGGTGTGAGTGGGGTGAGTGGGGGTGAGTGGGGTGAGTGGGGGTGAGTGGGGTGAGTGGGGGTGTGTGGGGTGAGTGGGGTGAGTGGGGGTGAGTGGGGTGAGTGGGGGTGAGTGGGGTGAGTGGGGTGAGTGGGGGTGAGGGGGGTGAGTGGGGGTGAGTGGGGGTGAGTGGGGTGAGTGGGGGTGAGTGGGGTGAGTGGGGGTTAGTGGGGTGAGTGTGGGTGAGTGGGGGTCAGTGGGGTGAGTGGGGGTGAGTGGGGTGAGTGGGGGTGAGTAGGGTGAGTGAGGACGGAGCGAGCCTCACGTGCTGGGAGTCGTCGTCGTCGCACGACAGTGGACACTCGGTCACGGCCAGACCCCCACGTGCCCCAACTACACACACAGAGACACAGAGACACACACAGACACACATAGAGACACACACAGAGACACACAGAGACACACACAGAGACACACACAGAGACAGACACGGAGACACACAGAGACACACACAGAGACTCACACAGAGACACACACAGAGACTCACACAGAGACACACACAGAGACACACACAGAGACACACAGAGACACACACAGAGACACACAGAGACACACACAGAGACAGACACGGGGACACATACAGACACACACAGAGACACACACAGAGACACACACAGAGACACACAGAGACACACAGGGGGACACACACACAGACACACACACAGAGACACACAGAGACACACACAGAGACACACAGAGACACACACAGAGACACACACGGGGACACACGCAAGGAATAGATTATTAATAGATTATTTTGTTATACTAGTAAAGGTTGCAGTATATATACTGTATATCTTCGTTGTTTATACATTCTTTTAAAATAAAAGCATGTGTACGATAGTAATTTAGTTCGACCTGGCGTCTGTTAAGCGATGACACGGAATTTAAGCGTCGAAAAAAATATCTTTCCCTCTTTCTGCATCTCCCATTCCCCCCCCCCTCCCCTTGACTCTACTTGTCTCTCCTCTCCCCCTCTTCTCATCTGTCCCCCTCTCTTCCTCTCTCCCCCTATCTCTCCTCTCTTTTTTACGATCAGAAGAAACAAGAAGATGCTCGGTGTAGTCGGCACTTTGCTCCGTTCATCATTTCGGTTTTTTGGTTTTTTAATGCTTTGCTTTGTGTAACCCCCCCCCCCTTTTAAATGAAAGACCCAACATTTTTTTCTTTTTTCTTTCCCCTTCCCTCTCTCTCTACCCCCTCTCTGCCCCCCCTCTCTCTCTACCCCCTCTCCACCCCCCCTCTCTCTCTGCCCACTCTCTTCCTACTCCATTTGGCTCTCGCTCTCTTTTTTCTTTATAACTACGACAAGTGCTGCATCTGCACGCAGCCCTTCCCACAGTCAAACGGCCTCCGACGGGTAGCTTAGATCTGCATGCAGAGCCCTTCGTCATCTGCCACCGAGCACACGGCCTCCTCCAGCGCCCACTGCTCCTTGAAGGCCGGCACGGCGTGGGTCAGCCGCGCGTGGCGGAACTCCGGCCCACACACCCTGGCTCTGACCAGAGCGCGGAAGATGCCCAGGCTGCTGGCCGGACGTTGCCCCTCCAGGGCCACCTTCCTCGCCCTGTATATGGCGAGCTTGGCGTAGCCGAAGAGCACTCTCCCCTTATCTCTCCCCCTCATCTCTCCCCTTATCTCTCCCCCTCTCTCTCCCCTTATCTCTCCCCTTATCTCTCCCCCTATCTCTCCCCTTATCTCTCCCCTTATCTCTCTCCTTATCCTTCCCCCCCGCCGCCGGCCCTCTCTCCACCGCTCACCCCGCGCCGGCACCCTCCGGCACGAGTGTTTGTCCTCGGCGAGCCTCCAGCCCTCGGGGCACGTGCACTCGTAGCTGCCGGGCGAGTTGCGGCAGCCGTGCGAGCACCGCGAGGCGGTGCCGTTACTCTCGGCACACTCGTCCACGTCTGCAGCGTGCGCACAGAGACAACGAAGGAAGATCCCGCACACCCCCCCCCACCCCCATAGCTGTAAACAGACTTGTGGTGGCGAGGGCTGTTCACGAGCAGCAGCGGCACCGATGACGGGCGGCACGGCACACGAGAGGGGTGGCCAGCAGCACGCTCCACGTGGCTGCCTGCTGCGGTGTGTACACGGTGTGTACATGGTGTGTAAATGGTGTGTACACGGTGTGTACATGGTGCGGTGTGTACACAACGTGTACATGGTGTGTACATGGTGTGTACATGGTGCGGTGTGTACACGGTGTGTACATGGTGTGTACATGGTGTGTACATGGTGCGGTGTGTACACGGTGTGTACATGGTGTGTACATGGTGTGTACATGGTGTGTACATGGTGCGGTGTGTACACGGTGTGTACATGGTGTGTAAATGGTGTGTACACGGTGTGTACATGGTGCGGTGTGTACACAACGTGTACATGGTGTGCACATGGTGTGTACATGGTGCGGTGTGTACACGGTGTGTACATGGTGTGTACATGGTGTGTACATGGTGCGGTGTGTACACGGTGTGTACATGGTGTGTAAATGGTGTGTACACGGTGTGTACATGGTGCGGTGTGTACACAACGTGTACATGGTGTGTACATGGTGTGTGCATGGTGTGTAAATGATGTGTACACGGTGCGGTGTGTACACGGTGTTTACACGGTGTGTACACGGTATGGTGTGTACACGGTGCGGTGTGTACACGGTGCGGTGTGTACACGGTGTGTAAATGGTGTTTACACAGTGTGTACATGGTGTGTACATGGTGCGGTGTGTACACGGTGTGCACACGGTGTGTACACGGTGTGTAAATGGTGTTTACACTGTGTGTACATGGTGTGTACACGGTGTGTAAATGGTGTTTACACTGTGTGTACATGGTGTGTACATGGTGTGTACACGGTGTGTAAATAGTGTTTACACAGTGTGCACATGGTGTGTACATGGTGTGTACACGGTGTGTACACGGTGTGTAAATGGTGTGTACACGGTGTGTACACGGTGTGTAAATGGTGTGTACACGGTGTGTACACGGTGTGTACACGGTGTGTACCCGTCGTGTGCCGTCGTGGCCTTCACAAGGTGTCACCGCTGAGAGCACTTGTCCCGGACAGACTGCTGAGGCTACACGGGGATCTTTGTCTGTGTGCGTGTGCACCCACCCAGTGTGTGGGGGAGCGGTAGTGTAGTGGTCAGCGCTACGCTGCGCTACGAATCCGGCGGCCCGAGTTCGATTCACGCTCACGGCCAAAACCGGTGACGATTATCTGAAACGGTCCTGGGCCTCCCCTAGGTACACTCAGCCTAAAATTAGTACTTGACACGGCGTATATACATCGCCACTGGGGAGACAAAGGCGGCCGGGCGTGGTGCTGGCCACCCACCCCCTCGAGTGCCGTTCCGGCCTTCATAGGCGCTACTCGCTAACAGCACTTGCCCCTACAGTCCGTCAAGGCTGTACGGGGCATCTTTGCCTTGCCTTGCACCCACCCAGGCAGTAGGGGCGGTGGCGCGTGCGGTGGCGGCGGCGCTCGAAGCGGTAACCCGCGTGGCACGAACAAAGCTCGCGGCCAAAGTGGTCGGTGCAGAGCTGCTCGCAGGGCGAGCCCGCACAGACGTCCACATCTACACGGGGGAGGGGGAGGGTGGGGGGGAGAGGGTGGGGGGGAGAGGGTGGGGGGGAGAGGGTGGGGGGGAGAGGGTGGGGGGAGAGGGTGGGGGGGAGAGGGGGGAGGGAGAGGGTGGGGGGGAGAGGGAGAGAGTGGGGGGGAGAGGGGGGAGGGAGAGGGGGGAGGGAGAGAGTGGGGGGGAGAGGGTGGGGGGGAGAGGGGGGAGGGTGGGGGGAGAGGGTGGGGGGGAGAGGGGGGAGGGAGAGGGAGAGGGGGGAGGGAGAGGGTGGGGGGGAGAGGGGGGAGGGAGAGGATGGGGGGAGAGGGTGGGGGGGAGAGGGTGGGGGGGGAGAAGGGGGAGGGAGAGGGGGGAGACTTATTTACAGTTTGAACTTCCATGTTTACCGCTGACCAAAAGCAACACAAATCACTTTCACTGGACGTTCTAAACATCAAAACTATTCGATGGGTAGATTTTTTGTTTTTACAAAACATGACAACATGCGAGTGGTGAGGGGGGGTAACGAGTGAGAGGGTCACAGAGAGCGGAGAGGGAGGTCAAAGAGCACCAATATTTTGAATCCACTCCATCTCGTCAACGAGCAAGACATCTGAGCCGTGTGACATCCCGTCCATGAGATTTACAATTTGTGAGCTATCTGGAGCTTGAACAAGATATCTGGCATGTGAGGGATCACGTGATTTGTGCATGATTCCTGCTCCATGAGAAATCCATACCTGTCAACCCACACGGGTTTACCCCGTATTCTTGCAGAGGAAAATTGAGATTTAGGTCCATCCGGCGTACAGCCGTTTCAACACGGGCAAAATTAGTTTTTTGTTGATTTGTTTGTGTTTCTTCCTTGTGATGGGACTTTGTAGGATGAACGTTGAGATTTATAAGGGGCACGGGCTGACCAATAAGGTCTGAGTTGGTCTGTAATAAGGTAGGGCGCTGATAAGGGGTTGACAGGGATGTAAATCTGCTCCATGAGATATCTGCTTCATCTTCCTGGACCAGATGCCTCGCTTGTTGGTGCCACGTGGGATGGCAACACTTCAGGGAAGTAGATTCGTGACCTCTCCCTCTGGGAGAGTCTCTGACTCTCTCTTTCGCGCTCTCTCTCTTGGACCTGAACTCTGGGAGAGTCTCTGCCTCTCTCCCTCTCGTACCTGAACTCTCAATCGGAGTATCTGCTGGCCTCTTGACAATTTGGAGCCTCTGAGCCTGTGTTAAATAAATACAATCTATACATGGGTAACAGAGCGGTGGCGCAGCGGTTAGCACACTGCCATTTGAATCCGGCATCCGAGTTCGATTCCTGCCACGATAACCTCAGTGTTGCGCTACGTTGCGATGCGTCGATTCACGAATTGAAGCATCTCTCGAGTTGGCAGAGTGATGTAGGGTATAGGCAACACAACGAACACGCAGGCAATCCGACTCATATCTGTCACGACCCATAGTTTTCCTCCACGTAAAAAACAGAACGTATGTTTAAATACATCCCATCAGCCAGACATCCTCTCTGCGAGGCGAAGTGAACTCTGGGACAGATGAAGGGGTTCTCACCTTCAGGTAGACACTGTCCCAGCACAAACCGATAGCCTTTGCAGCATCGCTTCCTAGCCAGACACAGAGACAAAGGTCCCCCGTGTAAGCCACGCAGGCTGTTGGGGCAAGTGCTGTTAGCGCCCACCTATGAAGGCCGGAACGGCACACGGGGGGTGGGTGTCCAGCACCAAGCTCGGCCACCTTTGTCTCTCCAAGTACAGAAGTGGTTATCGTGGTATGCCATAGCGTGACATGTATAACGTGGTTATCATGTCATGCTATAACGTGTTATGTTATAGTGTGGTTATCATGTTATAGTGTGGTTATCATCTTATGTGATAGTGTGGTTATCATGTTATAGTGCGGTTATCATGTTATAGTGTGGTTATCATGTTATGTTATAGTGTGGTTATCATGTTATGTTATAGTGTGGTTATCATGTTATAGTGTGGTTATCATGTTATAGTGTGGTTATCATGTTATGTTATAGTGTGGTTATCATGTTATAGTGTGGTTATCATGTTATGTTATAGTGTGGTTATCATGTTATAGTGTGGTTATCATGTTATGTTATAGTGTGGTTATCATGTTATAGTGTGGTTATCATGTTATGTTATAGTGTGGTTATCATGTTATAGTGTGGTTATCATGTTATAGTGTGGTTATCATGTTATAGTGTGGTTATCATGTTATGTTATAGTGTGGTTATCATGTTATAGTGAGGTTATCATGTTATAGTGTGGTTATCATGTTATAGTGTGGTTATCATGTTATGTTATAGTGTGGTTATCATGTTATAGTGTGGTTATCATGTTATGTTATAGTGTGGTTATCATGTTATAGTGTGGTTATCATGTTATGTTATAGTGTGGTTATCATGTTATAGTGTGGTTATCATGTTATAGTGTGGTTATCATGTTATAGTGTGGTTATCATGTTATGTTATAGTGTGGTTATCATGTTATAGTGTGGTTATCATGTTATAGTGTGGTTATCATGTTATGTTATAGTGTGGTTATCATGTTATAGTGTGGTTATCATGTTATGTTATAGTGTGGTTATCATGTTATGTTATAGTGTGGTTATCATGTTATAGTGTGGTTATCATGTTATGTTATAGTGTGGTTATCATGTTATGTTATAGTGTGGTTATCATGTTATAGTGTGGTTATCATGTTATAGTGTGGTTATCATGTTATGTTATAGTGTGGTTATCATGTTATGTTATAGTGGGGTTATCATGTTATAGTGTGGTTATCATGTTATAGTGTGGTTATCATGTTATAGTGTGGTTATCATGTTATGTTATAGTGTGGTTATCATGTTATAGTGTGGTTATCATGTTATGTTATAGTGTGGTTATCATGTTATAGTGTGGTTATCATGTTATGTTATAGTGTGGTTATCATGTTATAGTGTGGTTATCATGTTATAGTGTGGTTATCATGTTATAGTGTGGTTATCATGTTATGTTATAGTGTGGTTATCATGATATAGTGTGGTTATCATGTTATAGTGTGGTTATCATGTTATAATGTGGTTATCATGTTATGTTATAGTGTGGTTATCATGTTATAGTGTGATTATCATGTTATGTTAAAGTGTGGTTATCATGTTATAGTGTGGTTATCATGTTATGTTATAGTGTGGTTATCATGTTATAGTGTGGTTATCATGTTATAGTGTGGTTATCATGTTATAGTGTGGTTATCATGTTATGTTATAGTGTGGTTATCATGTTATAGTGTGGTTATCATGTTATGTTATAGTGTGGTTATCATGTTATAGTGTGGTTATCATGTTATGTTATAGTGTGGTTATCATGTTATAGTGTGGTTATCATGTTATGTTATAGTGTGGTTATCATGTTATAGTGTGGTTATCATGTTATAGTGTGGTTATCATGTTATAGTGTGGTTATCATGTTATAGTGTGGTTATCATGTTATGTTATAGTGTGGTTATCATGTTATAGTGTGGTTATCATGTTATAGTGTGGTTATCATGTTATAGTGTGGTTATCATGTTATGTTATAGTGTGGTTATCATGTTACAGTGTGGTTATCATGTTATAGTGTGGTTATCATGTTATAGTGTGGTTATCATGTTATGTTATAGTGTGGTTATCATGTTATAGTGTGGTTATCATGTTATGTTATAGTGTGGTTATCATGTTATAGTGTGGTTATCATGTTATGTTATAGTGTGGTTATCATGTTATAGTGTGGTTATCATGTTATAGTGTGGTTATCATGTTATGTTATAGTGTGGTTATCATGTTATAGTGTGGTTATCATGTTATAGTGTGGTTATCATGTTATAGTGTGGTTATCATGTTATAGTGTGGTTATCATGTTATGTTATAGTGTGGTTATCATGTTATAGTGTGGTTATCATGTTATAGTGTGGTTATCATGTTATAGTGTGGTTATCATGTTATAGTGTGGTTATCATGTTATGGTATAGTGTGGTTATCATGTTATAGTGTGGTTATCATGTTATAGTGTGGTTATCATGTTATAGTGTGGTTATCATGTTATAGTGTGGTTATCATGTTATAGTGTGGTTATCATGTTATAGTGTGGTTATCATGTTATAGTGTGGTTATCATGTTATGTTATAGTGTGGTTATCATGTTATAGTGTGGTTATCATGTTATAGTGTGGTTATCATGTTATGTTATAGTGTGGTTATCATGTTATAGTGTGGTTATCATGTTATGTTATAGTGTGGTTATCATGTTATAGTGTGGTTATCATGTTATGTTATAGTGTGGTTATCATGTTATAGTGTGGTTATCATGTTATAGTGTGGTTATCATGTTATAGTGTGGTTATCATGTTATGTTATAGTGTGGTTATCATGTTATGTTATAGTGTGGTTATCATATTATAGTGTGGTTATCATGTTATAGTGTGGTTATCATGTTATCGTGTGGTTACCATGTTATAGTGTGGTTATCATGTTATGTTATAGTGTGGTTATCATGTTATAGTGTGGTTATCATGTTATAGTGTGGTTATCATGTTATAGTGTGGTTACCATGTTATGTTATAGTGTGGTTATTATGTTATAGTGTGGTTATCATGTTATAGTGTGGTTATCATGTTATAGTGTGGTTATTATGTTATAGTGTGGTTATCATGTTATAGTGTGGTTATCATGTTATAGTGTGGTTATCATGTTATAGTGTGGTTACCATGTTATAGTGTGGTTATCATGTTATAGTGTGGTTATCATGTTATAGTGTGGTTATCATGTTATAGTGTGGTTATCATGTTATAGTGTGGTTATCATGTTATAGTGTGGTTATCATGTTATAGTGTGGTTACCATGTTATGTTATAGTGTGGTTATTATGTTATAGTGTGGTTATCATGTTATAGTGTGGTTATCATGTTATAGTGTGGTTATTATGTTATAGTGTGGTTATCATGTTATAGTGTGGTTATCATGTTATAGTGTGGTTATCATGTTATAGTGTGGTTACCATGTTATAGTGTGGTTATCATGTTATAGTGTGGTTATCATGTTATAGTGTGGTTATCATGTTATAGCGTGGTTATCATGTTATAGTGTGGTTATCATGTTATAGTGTGGTTATCATGTTATAGTGTGGTTATCATGTTATAGTGTGGTTATCATGTTATGTTATAGTGTGGTTATCATGTTATAGTGTGGTTATCATGTTATGTTATAGTGTGGTTATCATGTTATAGTGTGGTTATCATGTTATGTTATAGTGTGGTTATCATGTTATGTTATAGTGTGGTTATCATGTTATAGTGTGGTTATCATGTTATAGTGTGGTTATCATGTTATAGTGTGGTTACCATGTTATAGTGTGGTTATCATGTTATGTTATAGTGTGGTTATCATGTTATAGTGTGGTTATCATGTTATAGTGTGGTTATCATGTTATAGTGTGGTTACCATGTTATGTTATAGTGTGGTTATCATGTTATAGTGTGGTTATCATGTTATAGTGTGGTTATCATGTTATAGTGTGGTTATCATGTTATAGTGTGGTTATCATGTTATAGTGTGGTTATCATGTTATAGTGTGGTTATCATGTTATAGTGTGGTTATCATGTTATAGTGTGGTTATCATGTTATAGTGTGGTTATCATGTTATAGTGTGGTTATCATGTTATAGTGTGGTTATCATGTTATAGTGTGGTTATCATGTTATAGTGTGGTTATCATGTTATAGTGTGGTTATCATGTTATAGTGTGGTTATCATGTTATAGTGTGGTTATCATGTTATAGTGTGGTTATCATGTTATAGTGTGGTTATCATGTTATAGTGTGGTTATCATGTTATAGTGTGGTTATCATGTTATAGTGTGGTAATCATGTTATAGTGTGGTTATCATGTTATAGTGTGGTTATCATGTTATAGTGTGGTTATCATGTTATAGTGTGGTTATCATGTTATAGTGTGGTTACCATGTTATAGTGTGGTTACCATGTTATAGTGTGGTTATCATGTTATAGTGTGGTTATCATGTTATAGTGTGGTTATCATGTTATAGTGTGGTTATCATGTTATAGTGTGGTTATCATGTTATAGTGTGGTTATCATGTTATGTTATAGTGTGGTTATCATGTTATAGTGTGGTTACCATGTTATAGTGTGGTTATCATGTTATAGTGTGGTTATCATGTTATAGTGTGGTTATCATGTTATGTTATAGTGTGGTTATCATGTTATAGTGTGGTTATCATGTTATAGTGTGGTTATCATGTTATAGCGTGGTTATCATGTTATGTTATAGTGTGGTTATCATGTTATAGTGTGGTTATCATGTTATAGTGTGGTTATCATGTTATAGTGTGGTTATCATGTTATAGTGTGGTTATCATGTTATGTTATAGTGTGATTATCATGTTATAGTGTGGTTATCATGTTATAGTGTGGTTATCATGTTATAGTGTGGTTATGTTATAGTGTGGTTATCATGTTATAGTGTGGTTATCATGTTATAGTGTGGTTATCATGTTATAGTGTGGTTACCATGTTATAGTGTGGTTATCATGTTATAGTGTGGTTATCATGTTATAGTGTGGT